ACATCGCTAATTCTAGTGTATTTGTGAGATTGCATATATTTACTGGGCATTGGCGATTAGTAACCTCGAATAGAATATTAACAAATTTATCTTGACTGCCAAGATAGAAAATGTTATAATTTATGTATTATTTTTTGGGGGGTGAATTATCGTGATATAGGATGGCGAAAAATAATATGATAAAGGTTATAAAAGTAAATGTTTCCAAAAATGGTCACATAATGAAGAAAAATCAGAAAATAAGAAAGAATTCATTTTATTCAATACATTTTTATTAGGACTGAGATTAATATACTTTTCAGTTTTGAATCAAGGTAACTTAAATATTCTCTTTGTCTTTCTAATACTGCGTTAAGAGACTGAGCTAAGAAAATACTGTATTGATAACTAACTTTCATCAACTCCTGAAGTGAAGCATTTTTATGCATATAAAATAAAGAGATCTAGCTCATTTGGGTAACAGGCAACTCAATGATGAATCCGAAACTAGAATTTACGTACCACCATGTGATAACAAGTAACCCAGTCAGGAATCAGATTAGTGGTCACAAATGATTTCCATGTCAGAGCAAGCCCGTCCCAAATGATTTATATATTGAGATGCATTGAAATAATACACTTATATTTTTTCAGCAGACTCATTGCAAACCCCACTCAAATATGAAAATGTTCCTTTCTCTGAGAATTATAACCTTATGAATAGTTGATGAGGACTTTATTTTTGTTGCTTTCACCCTACTTCGATTAAGATGATGAGAGACTGGTAGTTGAATTTTCCCACAATTATATGCGTAGAGCTGATGTTTTCCATTTAATTTCACAAAGCCTTGTTTTCCCAAAAGGGTGGACTGCAGTTTCGACCTCACATAGGTCTTATCAACACCCCAAGCGGGAGAAGAACCATGACAGTGCAACGTGTAAGCACGACACATTAACTACGAGTCCAATTGGACTCCAGGGCAAATGTACATTTCAAGGAATGTCAGGCATTTTCCATGTCACATTCTGTGTTGGGCTTGTCGATGAGAAAAACTTATATTTGTTATAGCAATCAACGAAATTACTTTTTTCGCGAGTGCGAAGGTTTATTTATTTTCTTCTTTAATCTTGGCTACTAAGATACACAATAACTTCTATTCATCTCGTTTATGTTACTAGAAATTCTGCCTAAATTTATGGGATGATATAGGCTAGTATATTTGAAAATAAATTCTTAATCAGGCAAGCATATAAAGCTCAGTCTAAACAAGGCGAAAGGGGGCAAATTAGTTCAATTAACTTGCATTCTTCTTATGCTTCTTTCTTTCTAATAGCACACTCATTCATCATTTATTTGTTTACTTCAATATTTAGGGCGTGGATATTCAGAATTTCGGCAGTAGCTGGGCAAATGGATTGGCCTTCTGCGCTCTCATCCACCACTTCTATCCCGATTCCTTTGACTTTTCTACCCTGGACCCAAAAGACAGGAGGGGCAACTTTACATTGGCCTTTGAGAAAGCCGAGTTAGTTAATGGGGTCGCTAATATTTATTTAATAACTTTGCCTAGTTCTTTGACTCTATTTATTTACTAAACTGTGCACAGAACGAACACCAGAGTAAATAAAAATCCTAAATGAAATAATATTTTCTGCTGACCATACACATCTGAAATATAATAGCTAAACGCTACTACACAACTTAGTGAGGACAAACTTGCTATAAATCAAGGCTTAAATTAACCTTCTACTAGAAGTTAACAGAATGACTTGAAATTATGCCTAACCTATGGTCATTGTGCCTATCTGCCTATCAGAAAGTGATGAATACAGTTGGTTAAAAAATAGATTCAATTTCTGCCTTAAGCTAAAGGCTTCACTCTGAAATTGACCGAAAATGAGCGAAATTAGGAATGGTGACCCTGAAGTATCTCTTGAGAGATTATTTGAAAAAAATAAAAATAGTCTCTTTTCTAGCCTACAAGTGAAGATTTCGTCCATCTAAAGAAAAGTGAATCTGTTTATAGGATTAAAAATAAAAGTATTTTGATCTTCAGAAATAAAGGCGTTAGATGCGGCATGAGATTTAGTCAGGTAAAGGCATCTAAAAGTTCATCAGGGGGCTGTTAAAAAAACCTTGCTTAATTTAGAACAGATTCACTCCGATCAATTTTCTTAGAATCTTAAACCATTTCAACTTCTTGAATAAGGGATTTATAGATAGTTTCGAAACCTGCTTTCCATGAATATTCCAACCTCTCTTTATATAGTAATAACCAAGTAAAAAACCCCGGCAAATGAGAAATGCCTTATAAGATTAGCTACCTAAAGTCGATTCTAAGAGGTTGTGGACGTATATTTTGATGAGATATCCTGATCCTTAGTACGTCAAAATATAAAGTAATTCAGTAATTCAGTAAAACACCATATTATTTGCAGTAATATTTCAATTTTCAAAGAAGTACTCTTTGCATAAAAAACATTTGTATCATGGTAATAATTAAATTCTTTTTTTCGTATTGGAGTAGAGTTTCAAGACTACCAGTAAATCAGTATAATGAGATGTATTCACCCTATTTCGTCT